CATGCTTCCCTCCCTCCTCTCAACATCGATCGGTCTGTGTCTCTCACTCTCTCAGAGAAGGGGGGGGGGGATGAGTGAGATGCCGAAAAACTGAACACTGTGTGCTATAATTTTATTTAATTAGAGAAATGGATGATAATAGGGAATATGGGGAGGGAGGGGGGAAGAGGAGGGGGCAGAGAGTGGGTGTGGGCCCAGGCCTAAAGCTGTGTAAGGGGCCCCGAAATTTCTGATGGCTGCCCTGGTTATCACCACAGGCACCAGTGCCACTGGCTGTCTACTTGGACTCTGTTCCCATCCCCAGAGTCCTCGGGACACGAGGTGCAAGGGAGGCCTCCTCAAGCATTCAGTCTCCAATCAGGTACGCGATATCCCCTCTTTGTGTTCCTGCTGCATGTGGTGTTCCCACCATCCTTTGCTTTCTTCGGCACCCTTGTTGCCCCCTCCATAATATAAAATCCTGATGTGTGATGTCCCATTGTGTCTCTCCGGCAGGTCAATAATCTGGGTCAGCGCAGTCTTCCTCTCTCCGTTGTCTTCCTCCTCCCGGTGCGGCTGGGTGAGGTCTCAGTCTGGGAGAAGATCACCATCATCAGCTCTGAGGTAACACACACCACCCGGCTATGACCCGGCATCCCCTCCTGGGTTCTGCATTACACACCATCTCTGAAATTTGTCCCAAGCTCCGATTGGCCACGTGTAAATATTTATTGTCAACTTTCCTTTCATTCAGTTTTATTATCAAAGATCATCTCCAGCAGCTTTTCTTCCGCCCATAATTGCTGCATTTTCATAGGAAGGTTGCAAACAGAAATAAAGTATGTACGCGGCATTGTAGCTGCACAGACCATTCTCCATCAACACTGAGTAGTCATCATGTCATAGGAGACTTTCTACTCTCATCATCTCTGCTTGAATAAACTTCTCCACCTTCATGTCCTCTCATGTCTTCCACCCCAGCCAGAAATCACCAATTGTACCATGACGGGAGTGACAGAGGGAGCCAAGAACGTTGGGGAACTCATCAAGAAGAGTCCAATTGTTGTAAGTGTCTGTGTTCTGATCAGCTGACCGTATGACTAAAGAGTCACCCCAACAAAAAACATGAGCATGTAACTTCTGTCTGCCTATGTATATCATGACACAGGGTGCCCGGGGTCTCTATATATAATGACATAGGGTGCCCGGGGTCTCTATATATAATGACATAGGGTGCCCGGGGTCTCTTTCTATATATAATGACATAGGGTGCCCGGGGTCTCTTTCTATATGTAATGACATAGGGTGCCCGGGGTCTCTCTCTATATGAAAAGTATACAGACACCGGGTACCCCAGGTCTCCCTTTATATATAATGATATTGGGTTCCCGGATTCTCTCTCTCCTCAGAACTGCTCGGTTGGTTGGTGTGTCAGAGCGGAGTGTCAGATCCGGGTTCTGGAACCTCAGAGTTCAGTGATCCTCAGAGTCAATGGATCTGTGACTAAAGACTGGACCACACAGGTAGGTACTCTGTATACACAGGTAGGTGCTCTGTATACACAGGTAGGTCTCTGATGATCACTAGGCACCAACTTTCTTCTGTTACAGACGGAGCAGAAGAAAATCTCCCTGCAGAGCTGGGCAGAGATTGTATATGATAACCGAACCTTCCATCAGAACCAGCAGTTCACCCGAGCCCAGGTACTGTCCACCCTGTATGAACCAGTATTCCCCCATCCATCCATCCACCCACCCATCCGTCCGTCTATGCATCCATCTTTCCACCCACTCACTCATCCATCCATCCACTCCTCCATCCACCCATCGTGCACATTGTGCTGCCTCATGGACATGTAATAAACAGCTGACGCCTCTAATCTATAAGTCTTCACCGTTTCATGGACAGCATGCTCAGAACTCTGCCTATAATCTCTGTCATCTCCCGCAGGCTCAGACGGTGCTGGAAATTCCCACTGAGTACAATTACCTCCCCATCATAGTCGGGAGCAGTGTGGGGGGGCTGGTGCTCCTCGCCCTGATAACGGCTGCGTTGTATAAGGTGAGTGATGCGCATGGTGGGCGCATACAGGAAAACCAGTGATTGTTGGGAGGGGAGTGGCAGTTGGTTGGATGTGAGGCCGGGGGGGCGGATTGTCTGCAGAAATCTTACATTGAACTTTATGGTGATATCATTCCTCCAAAGGAGCCACACAAATCTTCCAGCACACTGGAGAACGATTATTAGCCAACCCTAATACCAACCCTAATGATAACCCTAATACCAACCCTAATAATAAACTTAATGTCAACCCCAATGATAACCCTAATGCCAACCCTAATGCCAACCCCAATGATAACCCTAATGCCAACCCTAATGATAACCCTAATGCCAACCCTAATGCCAACCCTAATGATAACCCTAATGCCAACCCTAATGCCAACCCTAATGCCAACCCCAATGATAACCCTAATGCCAACCCCAATGATAACCCTAATGCCAACCCTAATAATAACCCTAATGCCAACCCTAATGATAACCCTAATGCCAACCCTAATGCCAACCCTAATGATAACCCTACTACCAACCCTAATGATAACCCTACTACCAACCCTAATGATAACCCTAATACCAAACCTAATGCTAACCTTAATGATAACCCTAATGCTAACCTTAATGATAACCCTAGTGCCAACCCTAATGCCAACCATATTGATATTCCTAATACAAACCCTAATGCCAACCCTAATGATATCCCTAATACAAACCCTAATGATATCCCTAATACCAACCTTAATGCCAACCCTAATGCCAAACCTTATGATATCCCTAATGCCAACCCTAATGATATCACTAATACCAACCCTAATACCAACCCTAATGATATCACTAATACCAACCCTAATACCAACCCTAATGATATCACTAATACCAACCCTAATGCCAATCCTAATGATATCACTAATACCAACCCTAATGCCAATCCTAATGCCAACCCTAATAATAACCATAATGCCAACTCTAATGATAACCCTATTATCAACCGTAATGATTACCCTAATGCCAAACCTAATGATAACCCTAATGATATCACTAATACCAACCCTAATGATAACTAGACTTGTGCGCCGTCAAAAAATGTGTTCTGTTTCGTTTTGGAATATCCGTTATTTCGTATTTCGTAATTTGTAACTGAACTCAATTCGGATTCGTACGAAATACGAATTTTCGTTAGTGGCGGTTATATTTTCTTAACTTTACGAACATTCGTTATGATGAAGTTAAAAAGCAAAATACCTTTGTATTGGAGTGGTATTTCGGATAAAAGAAAAACTACCATCAATCAACTCCAATATATTAACAAAGGTATTTTGCTTTTTACCTTCAATATAACGAATGTTTGTAACGGAACGAAAATACGTCAACGGAATTTGGTATTTCCTGCCTGTGTATTGTAATGCAACTCTCAGCAGCAGAAGAGAACCTCTGATTGGTCAACCAAAACGAAATACGAATTCCGTTAACGGATTCCGTATCCGAATTTCGTATTTCGGACTTTAAAAAAAAAACTAATCAACTCCAATATAAATGTACTTTGCTTTTTAACTTCAATATAACGAATGTTCGTAACGGAACGAAAATACGTCAACGGAATTTCGTATTTCCTGCCTGTGTATTGTAATGCAACTCTCAGCAGCAGCGGATCCATATCTCGGATTTAAAAAAAATCTTGTCATTTTGTTCAACCTCATTTACAGGGGTAATATTAGTTCCCGTTTCAAAGAAATTCAGGTGGGAGAGGGGGGAGGGGGTATGCATTTATGTTAAAAATAATCTAAATATGCATATAAGGGACGACATCACGTCAAATAGTGGGGAGGACGTGGAATCCTTATGGCTGGAACTGGACATGACGGACGATCGTCGCAAACTAATTGTGGGTATTTGTTATAAACCACCAAATATAGGGGAGGAGGGGAGGCTAATCTACAGTCTGAAATAGAAATAGCGGGGAAGGAGGGCAATGTAGTCATGATGGGCGACTTCAATTGCCCGGACATAAATTGGGCAAATGGAACCTCAAGTTCAACAAAGGCGGGCCACTTTTTGAACATGTTGCGTGACAATTTCATGGACCAGATGGTGGAGGTCCCAACTAGGAAAAATGCCATCCTAGATTTAATCATTACTAATAATGCGGAGTTAATTGAGGATATTGTTATTGGGGAGACACTGGGAAATAGTGACCACAATGTGATTACTTTCTATATTGGATACAGGAAAGGGAAGCAGGCTGGTAGGACAAGAACCCTTAATTTCAGAAGGGCCAACTTTGATAGACTGCGCCACCTAGTGGGAGATATCAAATGGGAAAATTGATTTCACCAACTGAACTCGGACCAAAAGTGGGAATGTTTTATAAACACGTTACATATTGCCATTGCCAAATGCATACCGTTGGGTAATAAAAGTAAAAGATCAAAAACAAAACCTGTATGGCTGAATAAAACTGTAAAGCATCACATAAAGGAAAAGCGAATGGCTTTCAAGTTCTGTCCTGCATCAGGAAGGGAATATTTTGCAGGGACAGGTCTATAATTTTGCCACTTTACACATCAATGGTTCGGCCTCACCTGGAGTATGCGGTGCAGTTTTGGGCACCGGCACACAGAAAGGGCGTCCTTGAACTGGAGAAAGTCCAGCGCAGGGCGACCAAACTCATAAAGGGGATGGAAGACCAGAGCTATGAGACAAGGCTACTAAATGTAAACATGTTTACATTGGAAGTAAGGTGATTAAGGGGGGACATGATTTTCATGTACAAAATGTTCCATAGTCATAGCAACATTAGCAACAAACTATTTGATATTAATTCCGTAACAAAGACTAGAGGCCACCACCTAAAACTGGTAGAAAAAAAATTCAAACACAAGGGGCGAAGGGGGTTCTTCTCAGTTCGCGCGGTTAGGGTCTGGAACTCGCTGCCTCAAGCGGTAATTTCTGCAATTAATCTGGAATCATTCAAGAGGCTTTTGGACGACTTCCTGAGAGACCGAAATATACAAGGGTACAGGTACTCTTAAGAATGAGAACACTCATGGACCTATACACACACACACACACACACACACACAATAGGTTGGACTTATGTCTTTATTCAACCTCAAATACTATGTAACTATGTAACCCTAATGCCAACCCTAATGATAACCCTACTACCAACCCTAATGCCAACTCTAATGATAACCCTAATGCCACCCTAATGCCAACCCTAATGATTTCCCTAATACCAACCCTAATGCCAACCCTAATGATAACCCTAATGCCATTCCTAATGATATCCCTAATACCAACCCTGATGCCAACTCTAATGATAACCCTAATGCCACCCTAATGCCAACCCTAATGATTTCCCTAATACCAACCCTATTGATAACCCTAATACCAACCCTACCACCAACCCTAATGATAACCGTAATGCCAACCCTAATGCCAACCCTAATAATAACCCTAAATCCAACCCTAATGATAACCCTAATGATAACCATAATACCAACCGTAATGATATCCCTAATACCAAACCTAATGATAACCCTAATGATACCCCTAATGCCAACCTTAATGCCAACCGTAATGATAACCCTACTACCAACCCTCATGATAACCCTAATGCCAACCCTAATAATAACCCTAATGCCAACCCTAATGATATCCCTAATTCCAACCCTAATGCCAACCCTTATAATAACACTAATGCCAACCCTAATGATATCCCTAATTCCAACCCTAATGATAACCCTACTACCAACCCTCATGATAACCCTAATGCCAACCCTAATAATAACCCTAATGCCAACCCTAATGATATCCCTAATTCCAACCCTAATGCCAACCCTAATAATAACCCTAATGCCAACCCTAATGATATCCCTAATTCCAACCCTAATGATATCCCTAATACCAACCCTAATGCCAACCCTAATGATAACTCTAATGCCACCCTAATGCCAACAATAATGATTTCCCTAATACCAACCCTAACGATAACCCTAATACTAACCCTAATGCCAACCCTAATAATAAACCTAATGCCAACCCTAATAATAACCCTAATGCCAACCCTAATGATAACGCTAAAACCAACCCCAATGATCACCCAAATGCCAACCCTAATGCCAATCCTAATGGTAATCCTAATGCCAACCCTAATAATAACCCTAATGCCAACCTTAATGCCAACCCAAATGATAACCCTAATGCCATCCCTAATGATAACCCTAATGCCAACCCTAATACCAACCCCAATGATAACCTTAATGCCAACCCTAATGATAACCGTAATGCCAACCCTAATGATATCGCTAATACCAACCCTAATGATATCGGTAATGCCAACCCTAATGCCAACCGTAATGATAACCCTAATACCAACCCCAATGATAACCTTAATGCCAACCCTAATGATAACCCTACTACCAGCCCTAATGATAACCCTAAATCCAACCCTAATGATAACCCTAATGCCAACCCTAATGATTATCCTAATACAAACCCTAATGCCAACCCTAATGATAACCCTAATGCCAACCCTAATGATAACCCTAATGGGGATATCATTAGGGTTGGCATTAGGGATATAAATAGGGTTGGTATTAGGGTTAGGGTTGGCAGAAGGTTGCGTTTTAGGAATAAGTTATAGGCCTACTTAAAAGCAAGCCTCAGGTCATTGAAAAGATTAGCATCGGATTTAGTTCCCTAATACCAACCCTAATGATAACCTTAATGCCAACCCTAATGATAACCCTACTGCCAACCCTAAATCTAACCCTAATAATAACCCTAATACCAATCCTAATGCCAACCCTAACGATAACCCTAATGCCAACCCTAATGATAACCCTACTGCCAACCCTAAATCTAACCCTAATAATAACCCTAATACCAACCCTAATGCAAACCCTAATGATAACCCTAATGCCAACCCTAATGATAACCCTAATGCCAACCCTAATGCAAACCCTACCAGCAGCCCTAATGATAACCCTACTGCCAACCCTAATACCAACCCTAATGCCAACCCTAATGATAACCCTACTGCCAACCCTAATGATAACCCTACTGCCACCCTAAATCTAACCCTAATGATAACCCTAATGCCAACCCTAATGGTAACCCCAATGCCAACCCGAATGATAACCCTAATGCCAACCCTAATGATTATACTAATACCAACCCTAATGCCAACCATAATGATAACCCTAATACCAACCCTAATGCCAACCGTAATGATAACCCTACTACCAACCCGAATTCCAACCTGATGCCAGCCCTAATGCCAACCTGATGCCAACCCTAATGATATCCCTAATACCAACCTTAATGCCAACCCTAATGATAACCCTACTGTCAACCCTAAATCTAACCCTATTGATAACCCTAATACCAACACGAATGCCAACCCTAATGATAACCCTAATAACAACACTAATGATATCCCTAATGCCAACTTTAATGATAACCCTAATGCCAACCCTAAATCTAACCATAATTATAACCCTTATTCCAACCCTAATAATAACCCTAATGATAACCCCAATACCAACCCTAATGATAACAGTAATGCCAACCCTAATGATAACCCTACTGCCAACAATAAATCTAACCCTAATGATAACCCTAATACAACGCCTAATGCCAACCCTAAATCTAATCCTAATGATAACCCTAATATCAACCCTATTTCCAACCCTAATTATAATCCTAACGATAACCCTACTGCCAACCCTAAATCTAACCCTAATGCTAACCCTAATGATAACCCTACTACCAACCCTAATACCAACCCTACCACCAACCCTAATGATAACTGTAATGCCAACCCTAATGCTAACCCTACTGCCAACCCTAAATCTAACCCTAATGATAACCCTAATACCAACCCTAATGCCAACCCTAACGATAACCCTACTGCCAACCCTAAATCTAACCCAATCATAACCCTAATGCCAACCCTATTGATAACCCCAATGCCAAGCCTAATGATAACCCCAATACCAACCCTAATGCCAACCCCAATGATGACCCTATTGCCAACGCTAATGATAACTCTACTACCAACCCTAATGATACCTGAAATGCCCACCCTAATGATAACACTAATGATAACCCTACTATCAACCCTAATGATAACCGTAAATCCAACCCTAATGATAACCCTAAATCACACCCTAATGCCAACCATACTACCAACCCTAATGATAACCTTAATGGCAACCCTAATGATAACCCTAATGCCAACCCTAATGCCAACCCTAATGATAAATCTAATGCCAACCCTAATGATAAATCTAATGCCAACCCTAATGATAACCGTGATGCCAACCCTAATGATAACCATCACATCGTTATTTGTAAGGCTCCAGGGCTGGAAACATGTTAGGCTGCCATTGGGTCTGATCGGGGTCTAAATCTTCCATGCGGAATATGTACAAAGTTTGGCTGGAGTTGCACCATAAGGTGTTGCTTCAGAGTACCCAATCACCATGAAGTGTGGGCCGGGCTTACATAAAAATGTACCAATATGGAGATTACTCAGGACAGCAGAGACCAATGATGATCTGCAGACATAAAAGCTGAGATTTGATTGGTTGTTGTGAATGGGAGTAATGGAGTCACGTACGATTGTTCTAGAACGCTATCGTTAATAACGTTTGTCTGAGGCGTGTCACCGCCATCTTGTTTTCTGTCTATCCAGCTCGGCTTCTTCAAGCGTCAGTACAAGGACATGTTGGATAATACAGCAGAAGGGGAAATGGGAAACGACAATGCACCTCTGGGGCCCGAAAATGTCGGGGAGACCGGCTGAGGAGAGCGCGGGGATGGAGGACGCCGCGGGCGCGTTCTCACTGTGATGTTTGTGTGCTTTGCAGCTTATTATTGAACCTCCAGCGACCGATCCTCTGTTCTGTCTGGTGATTGGTTGGTGGGGGGAGTGGTGGGGCCATCCAGGCTCATTGTGTCCTTCCCTCATCACCCGACCGTTCATCACACCACCCAGGAGAAGGTTCTTCAACATCCAAGATGAAGGCCAAAGTGTCCCCCTCCCCCCACCTACCCCTTCATGAGCGGTGAACTCCCTCAGCAGTATAGATTGCACGTTCTGCCCCTTGTGTTCCCTTTCCTGCTAAAGTGCCCAAGATGGCCATCCCTTCTTCCTTCCCCTCGGCCCAGCCACCCAATGCAGAGGGCTGACACAGACATGCCGGGCCGGGACAAGTTCCTGTACCACCCCAGGCAAAAAGTCCAAAGTGCTCCCCCACAAGCTGCAGTATAGATTGCAGGTTCTGCCCTCTTTGTACCACCCTCCTGGTTAGGTGCCTGAGGGGCCGCCTCTTCTGCCTACCCCTCGGCCCGGCCCTGCAGGCAAGATGGGCTCACTCAAAATGTATCCAATACAATTCACTATAAAGGTCTCAAGTCCCAGAAATGGAAAACGTAGAGGGATTCCACGCCAGGATACTGAATATTCATTGGGTGGATCACCATCACCACCAAACACCAACCAAGTATGGAGCCGCCATCACTACCGAACACCAACAAAGAAAGGAGCCGCCATCACCACCAAACACCAACCAAGAAAGGAGCCGCCATCACCACCCAACACCAAAACAAGAAAGGAG